TGATCGAAGCCATGTTCCAGTCGACGTGTCTTGGGTGCCCAATACAGTGGTTAGCACCCAATTTCGTACTTGCCGTGCTTGCTGCTGTGCAGAATTTTGGCCTGACGCGAAGATCTCCAACCTCAAACCTTCTATGGTGAAACAATTTGAGACATGAGATGAAACCATGCTGAAATCATGATGCCAATTCAATGCCGAATCAGTGTGGCCTGATGAGTCAACAGCGCTGGTGACCACAACACCAAAATCTGCTCTTTCTTTCAGCTTGGACAGCCTGCAGGACCGGAGATCGCACTACTTGGGAAGCAGCAGATAGCTGCGCAGGGGACTTTACAAGATTCTACGAGTAGACATACATAGATGGACCAGTAGATTGTCTAGTAGACTCTAGAAATCTCTAGATTGTATATTGTCATGTATCTTCTTTCGGCCAGGCTGCGGAAACTGGATCATGATGTCGAACTTAGAAGAAGGTGATACCTTCCAACCTCATAAAATTGACCACCTGTCTGCAACTCCGCAAACTCTCTGGCAAACATCTGAGTGGTCAACTCCATCTTTCACCACGGCAGGCTTTCTGCACTGAGTCTCCCTGAGACAGACAAGCGTCAAGGCACGGCAAGTCATGTTGTACTGGATCACCTATGGATCTATGGGAACAAAGGAGGCTAAATCCATCGACTTAAACAAAAATTCACAAAACTTGTTTGTGGGTAGGTTGCACTGCATGAAAATCAGTGTTGCAACTGCTCACCAAATGCTGCCTTGACTTCAGGCTCGTCTGGAGAGGAGCAAACCTTGAGGAATCCAGGCATTTTCAAGCAGAAAATTGCCATTTTCAGCCAAGAGTTTCAGCAAAGAGCATCAAAAAGCAAACACGATGAATCTTCATCAGTTGCACAAATAAAGACAGGAAAAGCTCGTCTACTCGTAGACAAGACCCTACTCGGCTTGGGTGTTCAAGATGTCAAAAAGTCATTAAAATTCTGCAACAAGCAACTGCCTGAGAGTCACAACTCAAGCATGTTCCATTTGGATTCACTACTTTCACACCACCAACTTCGGCATAGGTGGTGTTTGAATCAACGAAGGCATCCTTAGTCCGCTTGTGTGAATCATGTCTTTCCATGCACTTGCCAACAAACAAAATTACCTGTTGGAATATTGCTGCAACTGACAAATGCTGTCTGGTGTTTGGTTGGGGCAGATTTCGCACAAAAGGCACTGCTGCTGAGCCTCAGCCTTAAATTTGAGAATCAATACTCTCAGATGCTTTGACTTTTCCAAAGCTTCAGCATTCTGCCGGAAGCCCATCATCTTTCCACATAAGGCCTAAGCAGCAAAGCTGTGTGAAGAAATCTTGAGAAACGTCAGCATTCTTGCCCGGACCTGATAAGGATCTGAGACCATCTAGGGCGCTTACCACTTTGGCTTGAAGAAAGATACTCCACACAAGTAGAACCTTGGCTTGGAATCAAAGCTGGGCAAACGTGTTTCAAATGTTGTTTTTCACCACTTGCATAGTTTGATGATTTTCTATTATTCTTGATGGGACGTTTTCTGCAGGACCATCAATCAGCATGCTAGGTCAGGTGGGAGGAAACTCAATGAAATCAGGACCAGAAAGGCGCAACCAATCGGATCAATCAAGGCAAAATGCCTATACAACCATGAAAGAATTTCCACCACGTGGCGCATATAAATCTCAAGGGCAGCTTATTTTTTTTTGCCGTATTCAGGTACACAAAAAGATGACTGGAGCTCGCATCAGAAGAATATATTGGGAGCAAATTAGAAGGTTAGTACGTGCTTCAATTCGATGTGAACTGGAACAATTTCTACCTCCGCACATTTCGCAGAAACGACTATGTCGGCCCTACTAGCATCATTTCATTTATACCGAAAGGCCGAAAGATGCATGTTTTTCAAATAGCTCAATTTTTTAGGTCTACAAGGGATGTCTGTAGAAATTGATCCCTTTACTCTAGCACTCGCGAAAGGTCAATTCTCCCTGAGACTGCGCAACTTAATGTGTTCAACTCTTGGTCGATGCGACGTGAAAGCACGTTGTTTTTGGAATGTTTCGTGAATAACGGCTGAGTCAGAATTACTCTCGTATTGTTTGCAGCGCGCAGGTCATTCACATCAAGTCCAAGTATGCAGGTCTGCTCAGCTTTAAAAATACTAAAAGCGTCCAACTTGCTGACAAATCAGCAATGTGCCAGGTACACTGTCCAGCGCCTCCATGTGCCACCGCCACAACACTGTATATGTACGGGGTATGGTCATCCCGTCCTCATTAAGGATGCTGGGTATATATATATATATAAAGATGCATCTGTTCCATTTGTTCCACTCCGCAGCGATTTTGTCAGAAAATTAAATAAAAAACAAAACCTTCTCAGGAAACATCCATCCCCTTTCATCCAGACTCAGGCTATTGCCGGGCCAGACCCCAGGCGACATAGCCACATTTCCTTTAATCCCACCCAAAGTGCCAAGCCATACCTCAGGCCTTCAGGTCCAGGATTCGCATTGGAGGATGTTTCAAAAGGTTAAACTTACAAAAACCGAGCTGCTGCACAAACGTTTGGGCCTTTTGTGGCTCTTTTAGGTCCATGTCTCGTCTTCCTACCCCTCCATCAAGGACAAGCCTCGGGAGGGGAGGGCGGGACTTGAACCACAACACTAGGGAACACATATAACACATATGCATCTTAACCCCCGGGGTCGGGAATACAAAGATGCATCTGTTCCATTTGTTCCACTCCGCAGCGATTTTGTCAGAAAATTAAATAAAAAACAAAACCTTCTCAGGAAACATCCATCCCCTTTCATCCAGACTCAGGCTATTGCCGGGCCAGACCCCAGGCAACATAGCCACATTTCCTTTAATCCCACCCAAAGTGCCAAGCCATACCTCAGGCCTTCAGGTCCAGGATTCGCATTGGAGGATGTTTCAAAAGGTTAAACTTACAAAAACCGAGCTGCTGCACAAACGTTTGGGCCTTTTTTGGCTCTTTTAGGTCCATGTCTCGTCTTCCTACCACGGCCCCCAGTCCTTCCAGTCTTTAAGACTGGAGGCTCAAGTGTTGAAAAATTTCGTTTCTGGGAAACTTGCGCAAAAACATTCAAATAAGGTTTCAGATTGGGATCAGATCTGGGCAACTGCATACTCGCAAGCATGCTCAGCCCCTCATTGACGTAAATACGGGCAGTTTTTTGGGAAGCCCATCTTCCTTGGATGAGCAATCGGTCTAGAGATTGATGCTTGGAAAACCAGTACGTGGCGCCCCCACGTCTAAGTGAATACGGGCGAAACTGATAGCTTTCAAGGTGGAGTGCGGAAACGCAGTCATTAAAAAGTTTGCGCCAGTGGGCGGCTGATTTCACAAAAGGCGTCGTGGACTGAGCCAGAGACTTCCATTGTTTCACCAACAGAACAGCCGGTTCAAATCCCAAAATGACGCTTTCAGCGGCACCTTGTCTTTTTCCGCCTTTTGTCAACCCCAAACTGACAACAACTTGTCTATCCTTGCTTCCACAAAAAAGGTGGCTTGATCGGAGCCCTAAGATCTCCCCGGTTCTCAACATGCAGTAAAATCCTACTAATAGCGAGACAGCAAAAGAATTCCAGCCCTTGAAGAACGCCCACCCCGCCATGCATGAACCACGTGATCAGGGATAGGTGGCGCTCGCGCCGGAATCTCATTGATTGACCAAGTCTTGAGAAGTCTCCACGCCCCTGGTAAATTGTGGCGTAGATCCGGTTAGAGATCCTGAAGCCCTGCCAGAGTGTCGCACGCCTGGGCTCGACCAGCTCCTGTGCTCCACAGGTAGTCCACATAGTCAGCCACCAACCCGTCCAATTTAGACTTCTGTTGGGGTAGCACCAAGTCAGCGTTTTTGAGGTAGGTGAAAAAGTTTTGCACGGCAGCGGCATATCGTTTTTTCGTGGCAGGCTGTACAGTAAGCTCCTTCAGACTCCCTAGTCTACGGCGTTGGGCGGCACGGTCTTGGGGCAGGGCGGCTTCAAGCACCCTTTTTCTTGACATTCCGGAATTTGGATTTCACCCGCTGTCCCCACCTTGATGGACGATCAGACGGGTTGTCATCGGTGTGGACATAGGCCCACACGGCTTGCACATTCCCCGCCAAGACCAATGCATTCACCCTTGCCATAGTACGTCGGAGCCTTCGGGAACTACTGCGGCCACGCGATAACGTGTGCAAACACACCAAGCTATCGGTCAAGTGGACCAGCCTACATGCCACGTGCTGCTGCTTTTCGATTCGCCACCTCAAAGTAGTCAAAACTGCCCGCAGTTCCAAACTGTTGATGTGCTCGGCCCCGTGGCGCCACCGCCAGCCAGCAATGATCTGCCACTTCCACAATTTTGAAGGGACGCTGGCCCGCAACCTGTGAAATTTCGCCATCTGAGACGTAGGGGTGTTCAGTAGTATGTCTTCTCCCTTCACGGATACCAGATTCCCCAGCTTACACGCCAGGGCATAAGGATCAGTCTCACATGGTTTGCGACTGGGGTTGAGGGGAAGCCGCGACAATCGCCCTTGAATGAAAACATGCTGACCTGATGAACAATTATCCAGAATTCCCTGAGGATCCAAGCGACCAATCCAACCCAGCCATGAAAAGAGTTGCCCTAGCAGGAACCCTATACTACCGGCACTGACCAGCTGTTTCCGAGCAGAGTCAAGCGGACATCGTTGTAGTCAGCCTTTTTGCGCTCCGTTTTCCCACAGCATGTGCTCGTGTAGTGAAGTGGAAACCCCATCATGAGCTCCCGCTCCGAGACGTCAGGGATCCTAAAGTCCCCGGTCCGGCTGACCAAGCAGTGGGTGTCCTTGTACTGGTAGGGCGGAAAGCGGAACCTGTCTTGGTGCCATCGCTCCAACTCATGCAAACTGCACTGCTGCACCCCCGCCGGCTTCCTCCCCGCACGGTCTCTCGGGCGACTCGTGGTAAACGTAGGGAAGGCCTTTTCAGGGTCCACCTTCCACCAGCCGGCGCGGATCACCTCCTCGGTCTTTTGGTTTCCTGACAGCTCCAATTTGACCAAATCACCGCTGTGGTCAAGCCGCGCATTGTCACACTCATCAATTTCCCAGCTTAGCCAATACAGGCGAGGTCTGTGACACCAGGTGAAGGACCCGGCATCGCAGAAGAGGGGATCTGCGCCATAACCCTGGCTCATTGTTGCGCGGTCCTGCTCATCCATAGAACCCACGGACTCCATAAGCGTGTGGACAGGGCACCACCGAAACGCATGCCGAACCAGGTCACGTACCCGCGGCACGTGCTGGAACAGGCTCGACCGCTCATCCCGCAAGGCTCCCCTGCGATCAGGGTTTAACCCCGACACACCTTGGCAGGGCGGCCCGGCCCCAATCAACACCAAACTGCATTGTGAAAACTGGCAGGCCCACTGCTTGACCATGTCCTCTGTGATATCTACCACTGAAGAAACGGTGAGGGTACCTGGATAGTGCGACTCCACGACTCTCTGGGCCGGCTTGTGGCACTCCACAGACACATAGCCCAACCAAGGCAACCCTGAGCGCCCCGATCCCATCGAAGAGCCCGATGGCAAAGACCATCAGGTCGTCCCCGGGTTCAGGGACTTCTCCCCGCAGGGCACCACCACTGACCATTCCTCCAAGAGCCGTAAGCCTGGTCGAGGCACAGATTCCTCCCCCTTGGCTTGAGGCGTCACTGCAGGTCACCATGGGATGCATGTCTAATCTAAAATCAAGCCGCGCTAGCGGCAGCAACCCCAGGAAGCGCAGCACTTCCAGACGGCATGCAGCCGGCGTGGCCCGTACTCGCTTCTTGTAGCGGTCATAGGACAGAATGTGCATCCAGACTTGGTTGAGGCTTCCAAGGAGCGGCCGGCGAAACATGCTGATATACACCAGTCCCCCGCAAACTACCTGCCATTGTCGCTGTGTCGCCGCCGCACGTTGACAAAGGTCAAGGGCAAGACTGAAGTACTTCACCAACTTAGCCTCACGGGGATAGGCGACTCCAGCCACCCCATCCACCGTTGCCCCTTGAAGTTCACATTGCGAGGATCGCTCGACCGCCTTCTTCAAGTTCCTTGGCACCCCCCATTTTTCGTACTCGTTCCTCAGGGACAATACCCCGGCGGCACAACTCCCTTCCAAACTCGTCACGTCCGTCTTGGAGACCTTTTCCAGAAGATCGTAGTTGTCCAGGTAGATTCTCCAATTTGTGCTGTGATGGCTGAATTCACGGTCCTTGCGGAGCTCCGCCTCAGGGCGATTACCCCCCGCGTCTCTGTCTCCTGCTGGGTCCGCACTCCATTTGGCGAGATTCCTGTGAACATGTTGGGCCAAGCTGACCGAGTTGGCAAAACCCATGGGTAGAACCCGGCTCGCCAGGTAGACCCGTTGCCCCGACAGGTCACTTGGCAAGATCTCGGGCGGTACAAGCTTATTGAAAGCAAGGAACTTGGTCCATGAAATGGGAACTGACATCACGTAGAAGAAACACTTCACGTCTTCGCTACTGACCAGCAACTGCTCATGGGGTTGTAAGAAAAAAGGACTCATCGTACTCCATGACGGCAAAGAGTCGATGTCCCCCGCCAGCGGCTTACAGAGCTTGTTCAAGGGGATAAGGTTCATTATCAACCTATACACCTCGACACCCTCAGGGGTGAACTCTTCTTTGCTGACCTCAAACATTCCATTGAGCAACGGGCCTTGATCAGTGCAAAAAACGTCCTCCTCGGGGATAAAAACACACACCCTGGAGGCTACCAGCCCTTGGCACACTGCCGGCCAGTCTTCGTCGGAAACCATGGCCCTGGGCCTGGGTACACTTCCCCATTCGGCAGACGGTTTGAGGTACCTCTCAAAATGGAGTACATAGTCACGACACCCGTGACTACAAACCTCCGCAAGTGGGACAACACCCACCTCCTTCGGAAGCGCCGGGCCAATACTACTCCAAGTGAACCACTGGGCCACCTTGACTTCATCACCTTTATAGTCAATGGATCGAACCGAGAAAAACTCTGACCAGTTCACACCAGAGACAGCTTCCTTCAGATGTACCACTCTCTTGACATCCTTCAGGATCTCGCCCATACAAGCACGCTGGGCATCATTCAGTTCATCTTCACTGGTCAAATCGCTTCCCCAAAACGAGTTCAAACTAACACAAACACACAAACACGAGAAAACTTCAAACTCAGTCAACCCTGGGTCAAAAACCAGCAAACGTTCCCTAGAGGTGGGCAGCGGAAATATCCCTCCTTTGCTTCCTCTGCCCGTGGTCTGGCTGCGGAGTGACAAAACCTCTAGGAGATACTGAAACAAATCACAACAGGGGTAAACCATCAATGCAAGTATTCCCAAAAACCTTTTTTCCTCCATGGCACTCGAGCGGCTGATGGTCGCCAGAAACGAAGTGGCCTGTGCTAAGGTCATTTGACCCTGTCGCCACTGCGATGGGCTCCGCCGCCACAGGCGATGATTGCTCCGAGGCTTTATAGGGCATCCCACCGGTCGCCAAGCCTCGAAGGGAGAGCTGCTTCAATTTCTCCGCCGGGGAGGCCACTGCCAATCCTCCCTCATACGGCGCATCCTCAATCTTTTCGCTCTCCACTGCGACCTCACAAGGCTCATCTGGCCTCGCACCAAAACCTTTGTTCAGGGCTATCTTCCCCGACATTGCTTCACTCCTCTCTTTCTCCCTGCTCAGCTGGCTTTTGGCGTGGAATCCTCTGGCTTCTTCCATTCTCCCTTCTTTCCTTGTCCTTTCCCTCCTTTTTTGCCATCTGCTCCACGCCTGTAGTCCTCTTTTCCACTGCCCTTTTTTCCTCCCCCCTTCTGCGATCCTAGGGGTCTGCCTTCGGGCAAAGAGGACATCCATCTTGTTTTGGACTCCTCGAACGCTATGCGCTGCGCTTCCCGCATCTCTGCTGCATCCGTGAGACTTGATTGCTCGCTTGGCAATAGCTCCAACTTTTGGGCTACCGACCAGTGGGTCCCGGATAGCGTTGATTCTGCACTCTTCACCCTCTGCAGCAGCAAGTCGAGGCATTGTGCCGCCTTCCCTCGCGCTAAGAGGTCGGAGGCAGCGCAAAGTGTGAGGAGCTCCCGACTCATCGGACCACTTGATTTCTTTTGCAATACCTGACGGTAGTATTGAACTGCAACCACTGGGAGAGTATTCACGCCTTCGGCCTCTCCCAGGGTCTGGAGGAGGTTCGCTCGCATCTGTCCCAGGGCTTGATTTGCCAGAACGCCTGGGTAGGCGTCGGCAATCCCCCGCACGCGAGCTGCTTGCTGGAAGATCGTCTCCGACTCCTCTTCCAACCGGGCTCCTGGTGAGCTGCCGCTCGTGCTGTCTGAGTCGCTGCTGGCTTTCTTTCCCTTTTTCTTCACATACCTCTTTGCCAACCGTAGTGCACGGCTCCTCACTTTGTCCAAGGGATCTAGCCCCGTACCTGCGAACAACGCTTTTGGCTTTTTCTGGGATGCCTGTCTGGCCTTCGTCCCGTCCAGGGCTGCTACCCCGGAGACGGAGTCCCCGCTGGTGGAGCTCTTCTTTCTTTCTTTTTCTTTCTTTTTCTTTTTCTCCTTCTTTTCCTTCTTGCCCTTCTCTTTCTTCAGCTCGGCTCCAGTGCGGGGCGCGTCGGCTGCTTTGCGCCTCTCCTCCATCTCCGTGCGGAGTCTTTCCAACTCGTCCGGCCCCTCGAGGCCGGCAACCTTCTCTAGATTGTTCACCCAGGGCTCCTCCCCGTCGGCCGGCCTCTGCTTTCGGATCCGCAGTCCATGGACTAGATCTTCCGCGGTCTCCTCGTGGTTGCAAGCCGGATTGCAAAGAAGAACCCTCAGTTCTAACCTCGGCTGGCCACTCTGAAGCTTGAGAATGCCCTCGTCTGTCGTTCCCGTGGGTTTCAGCCTCACTTCTACGTGATTCCCCGAATACAGGGTTCCGACCACGGCTCCTGCGACCTTGCAGGTCCTGTGGAAGTATCGCGCTTCCTCCACCACCAGACCTGTCTCGCCGCGGAGCCAATCGAGGCTCATATCTCCCCCTCGGACTGTATGGCCGGCATCCCAAGCCACCTTCTGAGGCTGAGCGCGGTCCACATCCGGCGGAACCCCGGCAGGGCGCCTCAGGGTCCTCCGACCCCGCACCAGGGCTACACCTCTTGCTTTGGCTTTCCCGACTCCTTTTGGCTTTGCTTTGGCTTTCACTCGCACTTTTGCCATAGGATGCACTTTCGCTTTTGGCGCCATGTCAACCTTGGGTGTCTCTTCCGGTTCTTCCAGTAATTGACTCCTCTGAGGTAATGGTTGTACCCCTTCCACCTGTCAGGGTTCCTGTGCCCCGAGCTTCCGCTTGACCGTCCGTAGTTTCTGCTGTCCCGATCTTCCTTCGGTGGTGAGCCTGCTGGCTCTGGAGGTGGTCGGCTCCCGGCAGGGATTGGACCGTCGTAGCTCCTCCGACCTGCTGACCCTCTAATGGGGATCTGTCTCAACTCGAACCGTCTCAATCTCAGCCTCCTTGTCAGGTACCCCACTGCCAAAAGGCCCTGGCACACCAATCTCCACCAGGTCGCTAAGGGCTCCCGCGCAATTCCGCAAAGCGGTCAACACCGATCCTTCCTGGTACCGGCTTAACTTCCCACTTTGCAGCAGCCCGCCGATGCGTAGGTAGGTCTTGCAGCTAGAGCAAGTTGGAGCACCGTTGAAGCTATGGCAGTGGGGACAATCACCCATACATACAGTGACTTGAACCACAACACTAGGGAACACATATAACACATATGCATCTTAACCCCCGGGGTCGGGAATACATAGATAGAAGATCCCCACTATTCCTCACTACCTGAATTGATGACAATCCGACCCCAATACCGGCAGCTTACCCGAGTTTTGACAATGGCACACATGGCTATCTGCTAACATGAAAACCTCCCCTGGAACACAGTTTGGCATCTTCTGGCTATGTCGCATGCGCAGTGCAAAGCGTTCCCTCTGTTGCAACAACGTTCTCAGTTCTCAGCTGTTTGACTTGCGGCTTACAGAATAGCACATGCATACAGCTTTGGACAGTGCCAAATACAAGACAGCGTTCCAGGAGCTCGTCAACCAACAAGTAAAGAGAATAAGTGGAATAAACCCAAGGGTATCCGGTACCGGCAGAGTGTAACCAAGACCAAAGGTTTGATGCCCCCGGGAAAAAGGTAACCTCCTTGCCTAATAAAAAGCTTGTTAGCTTCAGGAACGTCAAACATGAGCCTGCCACGCGCCCCTTACGCTAAGTACTTACTGAAAGCCCTTCAGAAGGCCAAAATGTGCAAATGTGTACCACGTGTACACCACATTGTACCACTAGTTCCTGTCATGGACTGGACACTCGGGATCCTTTCGATGACTAGTGTGCCAAGATGTCCCAGGTTCTGTCAATCCCACATGGATCAATATCCATGGCAAATACGCAAGTTTGAAAGACGACTATATTGCTTGCCTCGATGTTATCTTATCCAGTTTTGCATTCTTGAATGTTCAGGAAGCGTGCCTTGCTGGAATTGTTACTTGCAAATCTTAGAATCAGACTTCACCTAGCCCTCGAGGTATCGTGAATCCAAATGACACGCTGTGATATTGCAAACAGGGCACTGCATTGATTCTCATCACCTTAGCTTGTTCCAGGTACTAACAATCAGTTGCCTCGAAACAATTCGATTACAAATGGATGTCACACGATGTCACCCTTGCTCAGAATGATGAAGAGGTTTTCCAAGGGACATCCACAGGTCGGCTTGCAAATCAAAGCAAGCTTCCTGCAGTTCTGGCAGTTCTGGCAGTATGAAACTTTTGGCCTTTCCAAATTTCCACAAGCGAACAAAATGACACCGTCCTGTGGATCCGACCTTCATTCAGGGAGCACTACCGTGTTGGAGTGCTTGAGCATGGGCGGCGGAAGACTAATTCTGCCGATCTTACAAAAGCTTATAGGCTACTTATAGGGATGCAAATTCCAAGCATCTAAGCATTAAGAATCTTACAAACAAAAATGAGTCATAATGAGTCTCAGTATGGAATCCAAAAACACAAAGTTGTTCAAGGATGCGAAGTAATTTGATAGCGATTGCTATGAAGTCAGAGAATCGAGTGCCAAGACAAATCTAAGCCAATCCGCTGCTGTTTTTGGTCGATTTCAGGTCGTCATAAGCCATCAGCTGCAATCAGCTGTATTCTATAAAACGCATACGTGCCTAATGGTTTGGTATTTTTTATATTTTCTTATGACTTATGATTCTTATATAACTTATATATTCTGAATTATATTCTTATGATGATCTTATGATGATCTTATGATGATCTTAGTCAAGGTCTTGGCTGTGACGTCCAAACCATTCGGTCTCTGACTGGCACATTCCGTAGGTAGGAAAGAAGCCGCAGAGTAAGTACCGTCGAGTGACCGCCTAGTCCCTAAGGACCAGACCAAGAGTGTAAGAAGCTGATCATCGCAGGACGGTGGGGATGCTTTTGTTGATGTGCTCTGGGATTTGGATTGCACCAGTTTCTGTTTAAATGAAGGGAATGGCGGGGTTTAGACGTGTCAAGAAATATCTCTTCAGCTTGCGTTTGTTTGATCCTGAGCCCTTCTTTCTTCTGGTCAGCGTCAGCCCTGTCACTTCAAGCTTCCATAGGGATTCCTGCCTTGGTTGACCACCAGGAGGGACGGCAAAGCTGCCAAAGCAGTAGACAAATATGGATACAAGTTGTTCAAGCACAAGCCAGTCGGATAGTTCTTTCATTTGTTGCCTTGTAAACAAACTTGCAATGTGGTAGTTTCCAAGGCATGCTTCAATAGGCTCCTTGACCCTCCTTGACGCTCCTTGACCCTCCTTGACAAAGCTTGACCCTCCTTGACCCTCCTTGACCCTCCTTGACCCTCCTTGACCCTCCTTGACCCTCCCGCGCTCTCTGGCCTTTTCCCTCTCAATGTTCTCATAGTACATCAGAAACTTTTCAATGGGCCCAAATTTGCTTCGGTTCCAGCCATCCTCAGTGTCCAATCATGACTTGCTTTCATCATTTGGTCAAAGTCGCTTTTGGCCCTAAATGTGGTACCAGACTTCTAAACGGACTGTGACACATCAACGACAGCAAGCCAGACCAGACTAAACCCAGGCTGCTCAATGAGTCCAACCATAGTCCAACTGAGATCTCGTACTTCTGTTTTTGCCATTAGCTTGTGATTGATGATGTTGAGCTCCAGAATCGTCTCTCCGAATCGGTAGAAACCACGATTGATCCTGTACTTCAAAAACACCTCCTTTGTGAGAAAGTTTGCTGCATTGCACGGCTTCCACGGCTATTTGTCATTTCGGGTGTCCTTTGAAAAGGAATGGCTGAACCTGTCCCATTGTAGAACTCCTCCAAGCGAAGGTCAATTGGATCCTCCTGCAAAAGGTGGCTACAGGTGGCATGTTAGACTACACTCCGACCAAGATCTTCCTCTGTGTTTCAACAGTTTCAGAATGCTTCATATCATTTCATATCCTGGTCCAAGGCTTCATAAGGCACCGAGGGTTGAGATTGAGAAACTTTGCGGAATCCACCGCTCCCAACCTGCAAGACATACAATGAGGACCTGAAGGTCGCTTACGAACACAGAAAGGAGAAGCTTCCACAAAGCAAACTGGGCCTTTTCTCGCGCTTTGGCCTGACGTAGGCGGGAACGCTTCTGAAGTCTTTCTGGATGTATAGTTGGCTTGATCAAAAGGCACTTGAAGCCATGTGGCTTTTTCGCATTTTACTGCCAGAAAATATGTGTCAAGGGCAGTTGCTTGCATTGTTGCCAGCTGAGAGGCTATCGGCTATCTTTGTTCCCACAACCCTTCTTTGGCCTTTTTCAGAGATGTCGATGGAAGCTTTATTCCGGCCTGATGTTTGCAACACGAACATATGTAAGTTTCAACAAACTTCCAAAGTCACATAGATTTGCATGGGTTGGACACTTGGCAGCGGCAGTAATGGCAGCTTGCACAGTCCACAGTCCACTCTCCCATTGGCCTTTGACAACGCACCCTGAAGTTCCTGAAGCAAATCTGCATCTGCAACATGTTTCTGATTGGCAACCTGCATGTGTTTTGTGTATGTGTGCTGGTTGCTACTCTCGACACAAGATGCCACAAGTGCTACAAGTCCGAACAAGTCATGGCCGAAGTCGAGACACGTTGTCGTTAGACGTCGTTGGCTCATTGGATGCATTTTCTTGTCGCGCCGGGTCGCGCCGGGTCGCGCCGGGTCGCGCCGGGTCGCGCCTTGATCTCCTGGTCTTTGCTCTTCAGGAGCTCCTCGAGGTCAGTGACTCGCTGTTGCAGAGCCTGGCGGACCATCCCCTGTGCGCGGCCTGTGCCCCACCCATCCTTGCCCTCCATTACCGCCCCTCTGTGCTGAGGCCTGCTCTCGAGCTCCGGAAGGGCCGGAGACTGGCATCGTCCTTTGTAACAGGATGCGAATGCCAAAACAGACAAATATTATGCACTCAGACTCAGACATGACAGATAAGCGCTTGTATCCGAGAAGTGTCAGAGTGTCTTTTCAATTGTCATTCGATCATGAGAATTCTGTCTGAGTCGTTCTTGCTGACCTTGAACCTGCTTGTGTAGGCGACAGAGCCTCAAAAGTGCCTTAGTGCAAAAAGGGGAAGGGAGCTGCAAAGAGTTCAAATTTCGCACACAACATGCCAGCATCAACTCTCAGCTCCTGACCAAGACTGGAGCCCTTAGAACTGAAATTTTGGCAAAATCTATATAAATACTTTCCACAGGGCGTCCAAGGTTGAGTGAGGAATCAACTCATACCCACTCATAACATGAACAAACGTTCTGGCATCTTCCCAGCAACCCGAGGTTGCGCACATTTCACGCGTTGCAAAGGTTTTTCTACATGTTTGAAACTGTTTGAAACATTTTAAGTTTGCGTTTTCACTAATGTTCTATGTTTTTTTTGCAATTGTCATGGCGCATGTGCTGAGGCCAACGCTGAAGGGCGATGCCCAAGCTGCATGCTGCCCGTTCCCGGGCGCATTTGGCCGAGCTGAGGTTGCGGTGCCATTTGGGGCTGCGCTGGTGGCGCATGCCTTAGAGCACAAAGAATGACAGCTGTCAAGAAACTAGAGGAGTCTACGAGGAACGACCCGAAAAGTACCTTTCTACTCTATGCTACTCTACTGTATCAATAGTACCGCACAAGGCGGTGGCAGACATTTCAAAAATAGGAAACCTATAGGAGATCTCCGGTGTTGTGATGCATGGATGGCAGAGCGAACCCACTGATGGACCGAAAGCTGGCTGAGTCTCTGAGTCTCTCTCTTTCTCTCTCTCGTTCTCTCTCTCTCTCTCTCACTCGCTCACTCACTCACTCTCTCTCTCACCCAGTTCTTCCTTCTCTCTTTGTTTTTCTTGAAGTGGATTCTGCGAGTTTGGCACCTCGGGAGAACGGCATCCGAAATCAAGTGAAAACAAACGAATCACAAGAGCGGGATGGCTGCAAGCAACATGACAACGTACCACCTTATCAATCCCTTCCCCTCCTGCTGACATTCCTTTTTGTCCCGCTTGCATCTCTCGATCAAAACTTGGAAGAGCTGGAGGGTGGGCGCTTGCTGGTGAGGTCGGTGGGGGTGGACTCCTCGTCGCTGTTGGCTCCGCCACGTCGGAGGCGTGGAGGCCGGCAAAGCGGAGCTTCAGCTCGTCCTCCGTGCTGTACTCTTCGTCGGTCTCGGTCTCTTGCACGAGGATCTCTTGGACTGGCCCGGCCTCTCCGTCGTGCACCTTGAAAATGCTCAACCAGAAGGTCTCTTCCTCGCTGAATGGCAGGCACGGATCTTCTCCGCTGGTGATTTGCAAGCTCTCCACCGCCGAGATCACCGGGAGCTCCGCCGGGAAGAGGGCCTCCTTGGTGGCTTGGTACAAGCCCTGCAGGAGCTTGTAGGCCTCCTGGGCGTCCTTCTTCTGGGCCGCAGGCAGGGTCGGCGATCTTTCCGACTGCGAAGAATTTCTGCAAGACTTCCTGAAAAAATCGAAGTTGACAACATCGAAAACGAAGCAATTCTGCGAGACTTCCGTGAAAAATGGAAAGTTGAGTGCAGACCTGACGGCCTCGTACCAAAGCGTTTTGCGATTATTGCACTCCATCTGTCTGCAGTACTGCGCCTGCCACGAAAATGTGAAGAAGTCAGGTCATACGCTGCACCTGTCACGGTTAACTTAGCAAAGCTGAAGATCTGATGCTCCAAAACGCTACTCCTCCCAGGACGTCAGCGCCCTGAGATCCGAATATCTCTGATATAGTCTCTTGTACTGCGCCTGCCCCGCGAAATGCATCTTTGCAGATCCTCTTCAAACGTCCCACGCATACTATCGATTCTGAAAGCTACAGTACAAAACCCTCTATTTTATCATTGTGGTCTTTTTTGGCAAGGTGGGCCGAGCATGTTGCTTTTAACATTCTGACTTCAATTCCTTTTCGCGCCTCAGAGGTTGCACTTTTTGAACAGCTCAACTTCCAAAAGTGCTCCGAGAACGGTGTGCTTTTGATATTTTGACTTCGAAACGCGCTTCGCACCACAGTCGCGCGCACCTTTTGAACACCTCAACTTCCAAGAGCGCTCCGAGCATGAGGTGCTTTGGTGTTTTGACTTGGAAGTGTGCTTAGTGCCACAATGGCGTGCGCTTTTTCAACGACTCCACTTCCAAAGTGCTCCGACATGTTGAGTTGGAAATGTGCTTCGCGCCACTACTTTTCGACCCTCCGGAGCCTCAAAAAGTTTTTCTACCTTTTCGCGTGGTTTGATCTTCTTTCTTCTTACTCTCGCTTCTCTGCTTTTCCCATCTCCGATCTTCTTTCTACTTACTCTCTCTTCCCTGACTCTGTCTCTTCTCTATTTATTCTCACAACAGTTGCTGCATCTATGCATAAGTCGGAAGTTTGACTTCTAAACTTCATTCCGATGTACTCATCTAACTCATCTAACTCCATAGGCTGGATAGACTTGCAATTCACTAGCATGACCTGGAAATACTCTGACATGTCTGTTCTGACAAGTACTTGAAAGGCTCGATTACATGCCCAAGCCACCCCTGCATTGAATTCATCCCTGGAGCAGCCTTATTGCAGAGAAGATTTCAATCGACTCACTGATACAAAGACACAGTGTATGTGTGTGTGTGTGCCAACTCTTCAAGACTTTTGGTCGATCAGGCTGCGACTGCAACACCACCAGCAAAGCCTCCGCAACCATTACACACAGCCCAAAACAAGTCCCAAGAAGGAATGCTGGATGTGTGCATGAGCAGCTCACAATTGGATCTGGTATCATTTGGTTGCTTTGACTTCCGCAAATCGATTCCACAGCAGTCAAGAAAACTTCTCAACAAATGAGATTGGAGGCAGGGGAGATCCTGTGACTTGGTATGCGAAGAAGCACAACAGACCGAAGGTGAACTTGTCACACCCACAATACACAGTTCAGCGGCCAGAAAACTCACCGGAAAAGAATACAAAGCAAGAACCCAAAGTTCCCTTTGAAGAACCAAAAATAAGGAACCAGGTTAAAATCTTCGCAAGAAGTTTAGAAGTCAAACTTCCGACAGTGAAAAGCAGAGCAGGGCAGAGGCAGAGAGAAGAGAAAGATTAGAAGAGAGAAGAAGATCAGAGAAGAGAAAAAGTCAGAAGAAAGAAGATGCAGATGCGCGAAAAGGTAGGAAAGTCGCGAAACACTGTGTTTTTCCAATGATTTGTGGCTTCGGAGGGTCGAAAAGTAGGCTCGCCAAAGCGGCGGGTGCGGAGCCATCTGGCCTGCATTATTTCCAAGTCAAAATGTACAAAACACACCATGCTCGGGCCACTTTTGGAAGTTGCCGTTGTGGCGCGAAGCACATTTCGAAGTCAAAATGTACAAAACACCTTAGCCTCGGACCACTGTTGGAAGTTGCGATGTCGAAAAAGTGCACGCCGTGTGGCGCGAAGCACATTTCCAAGTCAAAATGTACAAAACACACCAGCTCCGGACCACTTTTGGAAGTTGAGATGTCGGAAAAGTGCACGCCGTTGTGGCGCGAAGCACATTTCGAAGTCAAAATGTACAAAACACCAGGGGTTCGGACCACTTTTGGAAGTTCAGATGTCGCTTCCTTGTCAAAAGTGAGAAAAACGTGAGGGTTTTGTAGAATTTTCAAATACAACCACCACTACACCACACTACACTCCAATACATTACACTACACTACAACTACAACTACACCTTCACTACATTCCACTACACTACACTGCACTCAATTACACTCAATTACACTACACTGCACGACACTACACTACATTACACTACACTCCACTACGCTACACTACATTACACTACACTACACAACCTTCCACTACACTTCACTACATTACACTACACTACACTCCACAACACTACAACTACAACTACACTCCACTACACTCCACTACACTCCACTACACTCCACTACACTCCACTACACTCCACTACACTAAATTACACTACACTACACTACATTACACTACACTACACTCCACTACACTACATTACACTACACGACACTACCTTCCACTACACTACACATTACATTACACTACACTACACTCCACTACACTACACTACATTACACTACACTACACTCCACAACACTACAACTACAACTACAACTACACTACACTACACTCCACTACACTCCACTACACTAAATTACACTACACTACACTACATTACACTACACTACACTCCACTAGGCTACACTACACTACATTACACTGCACTACACTACACGACCTTCCACGACACTTCACTACATTACACTACACTACACTCCACCACACTACAACTAGAGCTACAACTACACTCCATTACACTAAATTACACTACACTACTACATTACTTACACTACATGACACTACATTCCACTACACTCCATTACACTAAATTACACTACACTAGATTACACTGAATGACACTGCACCACCGATAGACAGGTAGACGGATAGACAAAAAGATAGATAGAAAGATAGATAGATAGATAGATAGATAGATAGATAGACAGCTAGACAGATAGGCAGGTAGACAGCTAGACAGATAAACAGATGAAAGAGAGAGAGGGAGAGATAGAGAGAGAGATAGATAGATAGATCGATCGATCGATCGATAGATAGAAAGATAGATAGAGAGAGAGAGAGGGAGAGAGAGAGGGAGAGAAAGAGAGAGAGAGAGAGATATAGACAGACAGACAGACAGACAGATAGACAGATAGATCAATAGGTAGGTAGGTAGGTAGGTAGATAATCAGAGAAAGATAGAGAAACAGAGAGAAAAAGAGAGAAAGAGAGAGAAAGAGAGAGAAAGAGAGAGAAAGACAGAGAAAGAGAGAGAAAGAGAGAGAAAGAGAAGAGACCTCAAGCACCTTTCAGTCCATCAGTGGCTTCGCTCTGCCATCCCTGATTCACAACAACCAACCTCTCCTATAGGTTTCATATTGTTGAAACTTCCGCCACCGCCTTGTGCGGTACTACTGGGAATATCAATCACAAGAGCTATATATTTCATGCGGCCTCCGTTCTTTAAGATTCCAAAGCTTTAGTTTCCAGTCACAGTCACAATGATGCTTTTTGGTGACAAGCATTGCAGCTCAGATTGCTGGAGATAAAACATAGTGTTAGAACTACAAGGTGTCACTAAATTTTCAAATCGAACGGAAACCGGTTGACAGATGCAATTATACAATTATCCCGGCAAGAGACCCCAAACAGTGCGAGGGGAGTAAGAAGGTCATGTAATATAATGTTGATGATGATCATGATGTGAATGTTGTTGATGATGATGTTGATGATGATGGTGATGTTGATGGGGATGATGATGATGATGGTGATGATGGTGATGATGGTGATGATGCGCATGCTGATGCTGATGCTGATGCTCATTACGATGTTGATTACGATGTTGATGCTGATGATGATGGTTTTGAAGAGGATGACGATGACGATGACGATGACGATGATTGTGATGATGATGATGATGATGATGATGATGACGATGATGATGATGGTGATGATGATGATGATGATGAGGTGGAGGAGGGAGAGGAGGAGAGGAAGATGATGATGTGGATGTTGAAGAGGAGGTAGGATGATGAAGTGGAGGAGGAGGATGTTGAGGAGGAAGACCGATCCCAAGACCGGGAAGCGCACTGTGTGCGAGCCTTTGCAGTCGAAATGCACACGGACATTTCACAAGAGCCATTGTGTGTGCGTGGGAATTTACAGGGAAAATGGCCGAGGACACCTCCGCAGCCAGCATTTTGTGCGAGCCTGCGCAGTCGAAATTCACATGGACATATCACAAGAAGCATTTTGTGCGGACTTGACAGGGAAAATGCCGGATGCGCATCCCGCGGCAAGCATTTTGGGCGAGCCTGCGCAGTCGACATGCATATGGGCATGTCACAAGAGGCATTTTGTGCGGAAATTTACAAGGCGACTGCGCGGGAAACTCGTTCTGCTATTTCTTGCCCGGCCGGCCGGCCGGCCAGTCTGTGTTGAGTTCGGCCGGGCGGCCGGCTAGGCGTGTGTATGAGCCACGTCCGGCCGGCCGGCCGGACTCAGTTTGTGTTTTGGCCGGCCGGCCGGCCCGCTCACTGCCTGGATGCTTCTGCATTGGCTTCGTTTTTGGCTGGCCGGCCGGCCGGCCAGCTGGCTGCTTAGTTGGCTGGCTGGGTGGCTGGCTGTCCCTCCTAGATGTTTTTGTGTTTGGCTAAGCTTTCGGCCGGCCGCTGGCTGGCTGCTTGGCTAGCTGGCTGGCTGGCTGGCTTGGCTGGCTCGGCTAATGGGCCTAATTACTTGGTTCTGGATATTAGGTAAAGTAAGCGCTAAATAGAATGTAAAGGACATGTTAAAATTCTGTAAGCTGTAAGAAATCTGAAAAGAAATACGTGATAGTATGACCGCATAAATGTTAGGTAGATAGCATATATGTTAGATAGAATGTTGAAAAAATGGTAGGCAGAGTAGGTGATAAAACTCGAATATGTGTTAGAGAAAATATGTTAGATAGAATGTTAGGTTGAAGGTCGGAGTTTATTTGGCGGCTAGAATGTAAAAACATTCTTGCCCAGACAGTGTGTCTACACTGAGGGGTTCTGACGGTAGATGCGAAGGTTGGTGCTTGATCAGGGTGCTCACTCTCTTCTGCGGCCTGTTGCCTGTAAATTTTCGTATAAAGCGTCGCGTGTAAAATCTTGACATGCGCTTCGACTGCGCAGGCTCGCACAAAGTTTGTGTGTGTGTGTCCGTGTTCTGGGCTCAACCTGGGCTGCGGCATTTTTCCTCTAAATTTCCGTATGAAGTGGCTCTTGTGAAATCTTGACATGCATTTTGACTGCGCAGGCTCGCACAAAATGTGTATTCGCGTTCTGGGCTCATTCTGAGGCGCATTTTTCCTGTAAATTTTGGTATAAAGCGGCTCTTGTGACATGTTGCTCTGCATTTCGATTTCGCAGGCTCGCACAAAGTGTGGTCCGCGGGTTTGGTCTTTCATTTCATTCCTTCCATTCATTTCATTCATTTCATTCATTTCATTCGTTTCATTCGTTTCACTCGTTTCATTCCTTGAATTTGTTTCATTCGTTTCATTCCTTTCATTCATTTCATTCATTTCATTTGTTTCATTCATTTCAGTCATTGCGTTCCTTTCAATCATTTCCTTCATTTCATGCGTTTCATTCATGCCGGTCATTTCATTCATTTTCATTTTGTTCGTTTCGTTCGTTTCATTTGTTTCATTCGTTTCAGTCGTTTCATCTGTTTCATTCGTTTCAGTCGTTCCAGACAATTCATTCGTTTCATTCATTTCATACACTTCATTCATTTCATTCCTTTGATTCATTTCAGCCATTTCATGCATTTCAAATTCATTTCATTCATTTCAGTCCTTTCATTCATCTCATTCCTTTCATTCATTTCATTCATTTTATTCATTTCATGTGTTTCATTCCTTTCATTCGTTTCATTGGCTTCATTCTTTTCAATCCCTGTGTGCATTCTGCAGGGTAGTTGTGCCCACTAAACCGTTTACAAACACAGCCTTATACTACAAAATGCTCCTTGAATCTGAACCAACCCCCCTTGCTACAAAATGCTTTGGGCGTTTTGATGGTGGATCAAAAGCCAATGTGGGTCACTACAAAATGCATTTGCGTAACCATTTTGTAGTGAAAAACGGGTTGCAGTGAAAAATCATGATTCTCTACTAAATGGTTTCTGGAAATTTCACTCTAAATCTTTGGTTCACTTTCCGGGGCCCAGGTCATAGCATTTGCCGAGCACAAGTAAATACAACCTTGGGATTTCCATCGGGTTCCAAAAATTGACCTTTCAAGAGGTTTTCTACTACGGTGCTCAGAGCTATGGGACAACAAAAGCGATCTAAGCGCACAACTTCAAATTCAATTGATCGGTTTTGAACCAAATCTGTCCCATTTTTCCTCCTTAAAGTCTCTACATAAAAAGCATGTTTTTTCGAACTTTTTGGGGCTTATCTGGAGGGGGACGCTGTAGGTTCTACAAAAGGTTGTGCACGCGTGTGTCACTACAAAATGCAGTGCATGACAAAAGTCATCCCAAAATAAACCACTACAAAATGCATTTCCGATTTTCAAGTGCTAAGTGAAACACCGCTACAAGATGCAGCGCACGCCCTCTTACTACAAAAACCAGTGCACGACTCCATTTCTTTTTGCATGAATTCTCCACGAAACAGAGGATGGTATCAAGCACGTGTTCACCCTTTTAGTAGTGGAAATGGTAAGCGGGATTCCTTTCATTCGTTCTATTCTTTTCATTCCTTTCAGTCATGTCATTCCTTTCGTTAATTTCATTCATTTCATGCATTTCATTCATTTCATGCATTTCATTCATTTCATTCATTTCGTTCGTTTCATTAATTTTCTTCATGTCATTCGTTTCATTCGTTTCATTCCGTCCATGTGTTTCAGTCATTTCACTCATTTCAACCATTTCATTTCTCTCATTCATTTCAGACATTTCCTTCATTTCCCTCATTTCATCCGTTTCATTTATTACATTCATTTGTTTCATTTCGTTTGTCTCATTCATTTCACTTTTTCATGCACTTAATTCATTTCATTTGTTTCAGTCGTTTCAGTCGTTCCATTCCCTTTTTGCGTTTCATTCATTGCACTCATTTCAGTCATTTCATGTCTTACGTTCATTTCGTTCATTTCGTTCATTTTGTTTGTTTCATTCATTTCATTTAATTCGTTCATTTTGTTTATTTCATTCATTTCATTTAATTTATTCATTTCATGTGTTTCATTCGTTTCATTCGTTTCATTTGTTTCATTCCTTTCGTTCTTGTCATTTATTTCATTCGTTTCATGGGTTTCAGTCATTTCATTCCTTTCATTTATTTCATTCATTTCATGCCTTTCATTTGTTGAATTCGTTTCATTCGTTTCAGTCAATTCATGTGTTTCATTCATTTCATGCTGTTCATTCATTTCATTCCTTTCTTTCATTTCAGTCATTTCATTCATGTCAGTCATTTCACTTCATGTGCTTCATTCGTTTCATTTGCTCCATTCATTTCATGTGTTTCATTCGATTCATTCCTCTCCTTCATTTCATTCATTGCGTTCATTACGTTCATTTCATTCATTACGTTCATTTCATTCATTCCATCCGCGTCTTTCATTTCATTCGTTTCATGCGTTTCCTTCGTTTCAGTCGTTTCAGTCAGTTCATTCGTTTCATCCATTTCATGCATTTCATTCATGTCAACCATTTCATTCATTTCAACCATTTCAGTCCTTTCATTCATCTCATTCTTCTGATTCATTTCATTCATTTTATTCATGTCATTCTTTCCGTTCATTTCATTCATGTCACTGGTTTCATTTGTTTCCTTCATTTCTGTCTTTTAATTCACTTGTTTCATTCGCTTCACTGATTTCATTCGCTTTTTTCATGTCATTCATTTTCATTCATTTCATTTCATTCCTTTCGTTCATTTCATTCCTTTCGTGCATTTCAGTCATTTCATTCATCTCATTCATGTCATTCACTTCGTTCAATTCAGTGGCTTCAATCATTTCATTCCTTTCGTTCATTTCATTCATTTCATTCATCTCATTTGTTTCATTTGTTTCATGCCTTTCATTCCTTTCATTCCTTTATGCGGTTCATTCCTTTCATTCATTTTATTCGTTTCATTCGTTTCAGCCATTTCATTCCTTTCATTCATTTCATTCATTTCATTCCTTTCATTCCTTTCATTCCTTTCATTCCTTTCATTCATTTCATTCATTTCATTCATTTCATTCATTTCATTCATTTGTCTCTTTTCATTCATGTGGTTCATTCCATTCATGTCATTCAATTTTTTCGTTTCATTCATGTCCTTCATTTCATTCATTTCACTCATTTCACTCATTTCATTCATTTCATTTCATTTATTTCATTCGTTTCATTCGTTTGATTCGTTTCATTCGTTCATTGCACTCGTGTCATTCCTTTCATTTCGTTTCATTCATTGCATTCATTAATTTCATTCGCCGTGGTTTTTGGCCCGCCGGCCTGGCTGCCACGCTGGCTGGCTGGCTTGGATTTTAGCCCGCCGGCCGGCCGGCCGGCTGGCTGGCTGGCTGGGTGCGAAATAGCGGGCCGCACTAAGCTCGCAATCGGGAAAATGCACATGGACATGTCACAAGAGGCATTTTGTGCGCCCCGGGAAACCATGTCCATTGAACATTGGGCCTTAACACTTATTGTGCGGGCAAGAGACCCCAAACAGTGGGGGGAGTAAAAAGATCATGTTAATGTTGCTGATGCTGTTGATGCTGATGGTGATGTTGATGATGATGATGCTGCTGCTGATGATGATGATGATAGCGATGATAGTGATGATAGTGATGATAGTGATGATAGTGATGATAGTGATGATAGTGATGATAGTGATGATAGTGATGATAGTGATGATAGTGATGATAGTGATGATAGTGATGGTGATGAGGAGGAGGAGGAGGAGGATGGGGATGTTGATGGTGATGATGATGATGATGATGACGATGATGATGATGATGATGATGACGGTGATGTAGATGATGATGATGATGATGGTGATGATGATGAGGAGGACGAGGAGTAGAGGAAGATGATGATGTGGATGTTGAAGAGGAGGTAAGATGATGAAGTGGAGGAGGAGGATGTTGAGGAGGAAGACCGATCCCAAGACCGGGAAGCACACTGTGTGCGAGCCTTCGCAGTCGAAATGCACACAGACATTTCACAAGAGCCATTGTGTGGAAATTTACAGGGAAAATGGCCGAGGACACCTCCGCGGCCAGCATTTTGTGCGAGCCTGCGCAGTCGAAATGCACATGGACATGTCACAAGAAGCATTTAGTGCGGAAATTTCAGGAAAAATGCCAAACGCCCGGGATACCACCTCGGATGAACAGCGGGCCTTAACACCTACCGTAAGAACCCCTCAGTGTGGACACACCGTTTGGGGAACCGTAAGAACCCTTCAGTGTGGCCACACTGTTTCGGGAAAAACACTACCGTTGTTGGTCTCAAGTGTGTCCTGGTGCATGTTCTCGAATTTTGTTCCATTCCCTTCCAAATGGTAGTGACTGGTAGTGTTCGAAGGTGAAAGGAATCTTGAAAGCTTCTAAAAGAATGAAACTCAACCTGAAAATTTGGATTCGCGGCACATCTCAGTTGAGACCAAGTCAGTGCGGCCTGACTTCCGAGAACAAGTCTCTACCATGTTTTGCATTTGCAAAAGCTGATCTTTTCTGTACGCGCGTCTTTCTTTTCTAGATGAGTAGGGATGCCATTGACTTCGTAGCTTCTATCAGCCTTCATTCTTTGCATTTGTTGGAGGGGGTGCTCATTTCCTTCAAGCAAATTGGTATGGAAAAGGCCTGGATAAAAGAGTCTTTTGGTCGGGATTTGTAGTTCAGAATAAGTCTCTCGCCAGACATGGGTATTGCCGGCACTGCCATGTTTAATACTCCCCTCCAACATGCTGCAGTGGAGGCAGCCATTCCGTTGTATGATAGAGTTTATTAGAGAGCTGTGCAACACAATGGTGTAAGTCAAATATAAGTGGAAACAGTTTACCAAAACAGCAAGAATCTCACAATTGGCATAGTGTAGTTGAAGCACTGCTGGCCTTGTGGCATTGGAGCGCGCATTTGCGGCATCATCGGTTGGCCGCCAATCTGAGAGTGTCATGAAAGAACTTGCTTGAAGGAGTCAAAAACCAAATGGTGCTGAGTCTACCCCTTGTTGATGTACTGTTATTTAATAACACCCGCTTCAAACTTACTGTTACTATCTGTTACTTTATAATACTTAATTATGTGCTACTGCCTTCTGTGGGACCTCTGGAAACTGACTGTCTCTGTCTGGCAAAGGACCAGCGCTACCCTTTTTCCACGGGAAGCTCAGGACAACCCGAGTGAGTCTGGTCTGCTTGACCTTCCTTCCGCACACCTGTCAAAAACTCAAAAACACGAACATAGCGTCCTTCAAATGACAAGCCTGAAAGTCGCTCCGACATCAGACTCCAATTGTCCAACGATTGTTCAAAGAGCCGTGACATGTCGTACATCACACGTGAACAGAACGCTCAGGCTATGTAGGACGCCGTCACAGCTGCTTCGCAGCCAAGGAGGCAGCAGGAAAACATACATTTAGTACTCCGCGCATTCACATGCCCATTGGCTATCATTGGCTTGCATGCATAATTATTCATATGCTTGTTCGTTTGCAAATCTGTTGTACTTGTCTCTGCAACTACAATAGACTACAACTGTCGTTGGATTGAGCAGGTCACATGGTCGATTGCTCGGGGGTTGCTAGATTGCAAGCTCGGACGCTCACGGAGACTTGTGGGAATTCGTCACACATTCACTTTGTACCACGCTTGCACAGCTCTGTAGGCCTTCATTGCAGTCATTTCACCTCTGGCTATTCACCTGAGAAACATCCCGGAAATGCCTTGCAGCAGTCAAACATAGTCAAACAGATTCATGACTCGTACGACTCGTATGACCTCTTCGCAATTTGGCCAAGCTGCTGTTTGACGCTTGACCAATACTTGCTGTCTCTGGCTGAGACTCCATGGTATCAGCGATGGAATCAAGCTCCTTTCTTCACTCAGAACAAATGGTTTGCAAAGCCCTCTCGTGTCATCGTCTGTCTGTATGTGCCTACATCAAAGGTAGCAGCTAGCCGTCCATCAACGGTCATCAACAGTTGTCAACGCCACCCTCGGCACTCTTTCAACGAAAATGAAGCGTCCTTCAGGCTGAGGACAACTCCGAGAGTCAAGATGGAGAGGACCTGGATCATGGAATCGGATGGAATGAAACACTGGGCGGTGCCAGCTCATTTGAGACTGGACGAATCTGAGTTTTTTACAATGCCCAGCGACAGCATGACTGGAACCTGCAAAGCTTCACTGGAAGGGATCGCAAAGATTCAGATACAGATAGATACAGATGCAGATCTAGTATGTACAATGCTCACAATGCTCACAATGCTCACAATTGTCACAATGCTCACAATGCAGAGACCAGCCCCACAAGAGGCACTGCAGCCTGGATGATATTGAAGTAATCGACCACCTCAGCGTAAGGACCAGGAACCCTCAGGAACACCTGTCAGCCCGCTGGACTCACTTGCCTCTCAATCCCATCAATGGAAGTGTGATTGTCTTGTTCTCCCTGTCCTTTTTTTGCAATCTCCGTCCACATCACTTTGACTTGAGGTCCCAGGCAATTTTCACACCAATAAAGCCAAGCACTATGCTTACGGCAGGCTCCAAGTATGTGAACCTCTCGGACCAAGTCTACTGGTCACTGAGACACAGCATCTGCAACGCACACGAGGCAAATGCATCTTTGCAATTACATGCAAGTATGCTAGTGGTTGTATCTGGTCTAAAAAGGTATAAAGTTGTCTAAATATGTCTTTTCTCGTGAAATCACTTTGCTGCCTTCGCTTGCAACACCCATATAAAAGGCTGGGCGTTTTGGTTCGGGAAGATTCTGAGGGCACAAGATAGTGAACAGTTTTCAAGTAGCATCCTAGATGGCTAGATGCAATAGAACCTTATCTAGAATTTATTTCCATGGGCAACCGATCCTTTCGACATGTGCAGGCATTCTACATTGGCAAATGAGCTCTAATGGCCCAAACAGCATCAACCAAACATCACTTTGAGGCCAGGAGATGGTGATGAATAACTATCCGCCAAAGCATGCCTTCCGAAGTGTGTTGTAGAAGATGAGTTTCAAGTTCCGACAACAGCATTTGGCATATCAGGGATGCCTTCAAATATCCATGCAAATTCTGCCGCCCCTGTGGTCCATGGCAGCTATGATATGGAATGACTTGCAGTGTTAATCATTGATCACCTTTCTTACCGATGGAATTCTGGAGCGGCAGGATGTGGTGGGACCAGCCTCACTTGCGCCCATAGAAAAAACCACTTGCGCCCAGATTGACGTAAACATACCTTTATGTGGAAAAACAAGCCATTTAGGGTCTACTGTTAGGGACATGGGGATTCGGAAGGACTTGGGGACCTGGGGGCTTAGGGAGGGACATGGGTGCATGCAGCAACAGTTGGGGGACAGTAGCTCGGGTGGAAAGGGGCTACCCGGGCGCAAGCGAGACAAATCCACGGGCACAAGCGAGGCCGTTTCCCAGGATGGAGAGGGACTTTTCCATACAGTTCTAGGTTAGATCCATCTTTGCAGAGCCGGGCGGGTTAGTAGATTTGGGCAGTTCCGAAGGTTTGGACGAGATGCTTCATGTCTTGTATTGGAAGCAACAGTTATTGTTGCAAGTTGTGATTTGCCTTTCCGGACTATAAATAATCGCCTTGCTGCAAGTTTTTCTCAAGTTTTTTCGTTGTTGGGGAGTTCCTTCCCTTCTATTGTTTCCCTGTGTCAGGCAATACCACTGCTCAAGGCACACAGATGCCCGGACAGATCATTCCATACAAAATTAGATATACGCATTACAAAGATATGTAGTAAGGCAGTCTTGTCTACAGGAAGTTCAATGGTGCAACTGAAGATGCTCCCAGACAAAACCTCAAGTACATGGGGCCTGGTCATGGCCTCCCGTAGGATGAAGAACAGGGAACGCAGTCCAAAAACTGCGAAAATGTTCCTTACAGGTTCTGCATGGTTCTGCATGGTTCTGCATCAGAACTTTGTGGGACCCGTCACGACTTAGCAACCTCTGTCACATTTTTTGCTGTCGAGGCACGATGAATACGCAATGAAAGGATCCTGCAACGAATGGGCTGGATCCAACACACGTCACAATATCACTGTTCCAACGCATCTAAAGATTCTAAGAAACATCTAAATAAGAAATCTTGTTTTTGCAGTTTGAAAGTTTGCAAGCTTAACCTTTGGACAGCAGCGGACGGGGGTGATTCAAAAAAATTGTTGTGATATTTATTGTCCTGCGTTGTGCCAAGCACCGCCGGAACAGAATCAGTGGCGAAGACAATGTCGCTAAACCTGAACACAAACACAAAAACTTGCTCAGAAGGAAAATGCCTAAGATAATATATATATATATAACAATGCTTCACAGAAAGACAAATTCCCAACAGAGACCTATAGAGCCTCCATGATCGACATTCAGTCACCTGTACGTTTTTAGTCAAACGACTTCCACCACTCCGTAAATCTCTCCAAGGCGCTCAATCACCAGCAAACAAAGGAACAAAGGAGTTGCCACCCATCTTCCACTGACCTCCGGGCCCCCAATTTCTCAATGATCTTGGTGGAATTCTGTCTTTGCTGGATTGCAGAGAATCGGCCCAGAGCCATTGCGAACAATCGCAAGGACGATTTTTGGACTGCAGCTGTGTTTTTCCACCAAAACCATGCCTTCCTGCCGCTTCTCACCGGTTTTGGCCCAATACAGGGGGCTAATAGCAAGGTCAACACAGGAGGACCAACAAGGTGCAGAACAGCTTCAAAGTAGTCTCGCTTCCGTACGGAGAAAAAGGACTGATACTGTAGAGCTACAAATGTTGATGGTCTAGTGAGTCTAGTGGGACAGGATGGTTTTTCATTGCACGGGGATTGACCAGTGTGGGGATGGGGTCAAGGATTTCGCACTTCCGGACGCAAATTTGGATTCAAGACTGGGAGGGCACCAAATTCCCTGCTCTGAAAAAACGCCATAGACACCGTCTTGCTCTGACAGCGTCTGGGCACCTCTGTGAAGAAGTTATCACCATCTAGTCTGGGAGAGATCTCCACCATCTTGGTCAATGTCCTGAGAAGGCATAGATAGGATAGGATAGGATAGAATAGGATAGATAGATTAGATAGATTAGATCGATTAGATCGATTAGATAGATTCGATAGATTAATTAGAGAGATAGATTAATTAGAGAGATTAGATAGATTAGATTAGATTAGATTAGATTAGATTAGCTTAGATTAGCTTGGGTTAGGTTAGATTAGATTGGATTAGATTATATAGATTAGATTAGATTAGATAGATAGATAGATATATTAGATAGATATATTAGATAGATAAATTAGATAGATAGATTAGATAGATAGATTAGGTAGATAGATTAGGTAGATTGATTAGATAGATAGATTAGATAGATAGATTAGATAGATAGATTAGATCGATAGATTAGATAGATAGATTAGATAGATAGATTAGATAAATAGATATGATAGATTAGATAGATTAGATAGATTAGATAGATTAGGAAAGGATAGGATAGGATAGGATAGATAGATAGATATACTAGGCAGGAGTCTGTGAAGTTGAGAGCCTCGTTCTCAAGCTCAACCAACTCAAGCATTCACCTACATTTCCTCAGATCGACACTTGTAAATGGCATCATCTTCTATGGAGTCGTTTTCGTCGTCATCGTCGTCCGACTTTGCCAACCCCTCCGCAGTTGAATCAAGCTGGAAAGACATCAACAAGAATAACAAGACAACACCGTACAACAATATACAACATCACTAAAAAGAATGATCGGCTCTGCTTGGGAATGCCTGGTATGATGCATACACCTGGCGCAATGACCAACAAGTAATTTGGCTGCCTAAACAAGACTTGCTGACATCAAAAAAGTGAGTTGTGCATTTCACATCTTTCTAAGATTTCAAGGTGTAAGATGGCTGTCGAGGCTATTCCAAGCCCAACTTTGCCGGAACGGCCAGAATGGCAGAGAAGAGAAGGATTAGAAAGTCAAAGCGCTGCAGTAGTTGTGCTCCCATATAAACGAAAAGAAAACGCCTGAGAATCACAATGTCATTGCCGAAACACAATGTCAATGCACTGCAACATGTTGAATCCGCTTGGACAAATTTCTAAGCTTTTTGCAAAATCACAGCCCCTGCCACGCCGTAGTTCAACACCTGAGACCTCAAAAAACCGTGGTTCTCAAAAAGTAAAAACACCGATATTTTGCCAGGCTGGGCCTGAAGGTACTGAGCACTGAGGGTTTTCTGAGGGTTTTGCTGGCGCTCACCTGTGACTTTGAAGTAGTCGAAAATAACCTTAATGTACTGCACTTTGTGTTGCACTTTGTTGCGCATTTGTGCTTGCAATCATTTGCAATCCATCATTTCAGCAGAATGTTCCGGAACGCACCAGCTGGTGGAACAATCCAAAGAGAACAAGCAATCAAAATGTGTCCAAATGAGGTTCTGGAACGGAGATAAAATGCAGAAGCAACACCAATGCGGAAAGGAAACCATGCTGTGACAATTCTAGAAAAGAACATGTTGGAGACGAGCTGAGGCTTGAGACAATGAAGACGAAGAGGTTGTCCACTGACAACGAATATTCAATGAAGTAGCATGCAAACCTGGCTTCAATTGCAACAAGGCAACTGCAGTGACATGTGTGACGTCGGCAAGCCACTGCCCAAGTCCAAGATTCCTTCCATGGTTTAGAGATGGGGTCAATAATTCAAGTATTGAACCGTTTCTTGCATTATATGTTGTTGCTGTGAGAAACAAGAACACTTTCTTGCGCATTCACACTGTTGCTGGTTTGCATACAGAAATGCCACACACAGGCAGCAACCAGATGCAGGCGTAAGAAGACACTGTTAACTACCGCATCCTTATTGAGGCACACATGTACTGGCTTTTTGTGAGTGGGACCTGTCAGGCCTCCATTTTTCGGGCAACGTCTAAAACAACGCCAACTTGCAGTGTCTTGCACCATGGACGGGCCATAATTAGATTACCCCCCTCACTTCCAACAGCCAGTTTCGACTCACGTCCAACACCGCCTCACTTCCAACACCCAGAACTCACTCCCAACACCCAAAAGTGACTCACTTCCAGCGCAAAACACAGGTTTCGGCGTCGGTAGCGAGACAATTTCAATACTTGCCATTGGAACTCAGCCATTTAGGGTGGTAAACGACGCAGCAACGCACACAGATCGCACTCAGCGGCAAACATAGCCAAAACTCAGCCACGCACGCAGAACAAACTCAGCCATGCACACAGACTCAACTCAGCCACACACACAGGTCCAGGACAGCCACGCACACAATCTATCTCAACCAAACACACAGATTATACTCAGCCATACACACAAAGAAAGCTCAGCCACACACACACACAGACCTTTATATGTTGCATTTAATGTTAAAAAAAAAACGCATGTTTAGGGTTTATATGTTGTTGCACGTAATGTAAGAAGAGACACTTTAGGGTTAATACGTTGTTGCACTTAAGGTAAGAAGAGCCACGATACCTTTAGGGTTTTTTATGTTGTTGCAAGTTATGTAAAAAGAGCCTCGACACCTTTAGGGTTAATACGTTGTTGCACTTAAGGTAAGAAGAGCCACGACACCTTTAGGGTTTTTATGTTGTTGCAGGTTATGCAACAAGGGACATGACACCTTTAGGGTTTCTATGTTGTTGCACTTAATGTAAGAAAAACCACGACACCTTTAAGGTTTATATATTGTTGCACTTAATGTAAGAAAAGACTCGACACCTTTAGGGTTTATATGTTGTTGCACTTAATGTAAGAAGAGACACGACACCTTCAGGGTTTATATGTTGCTACACATAATGTCAGAAGAAGAACGACATCTTTAGGGCATACATGTCGTTGCAAGTAATGTAACAAGGGAAACGACACCTTCAGGGTCTGTATGTTGTTGCAATTACTGTAAGAAGAGCCACGGCACCTTTAGGGTCTTTATGTTGTTGCAACGTCGTTCTCTGTGGTTGTGGTTGTTGTTGTTGTTGTTGTCGTTGTTGCTGCTGTTGTTACTATTGTTTTGGCTGCTTGTAATTATCACAGTGGCACCCACCGATAGGCAACATGATGATGATTTTGGTGATGATAA